AAACAACAATTACATGCCTCAGCTGTTGCACGTAACATGGATATTAATAAAAAAGAGCCCTGATAAAGACAATAGTGCAATTGACCCGTCTAAGGTTACTTCAGCGGGCCCGCATGCACTGATCAGTTTCGTACTACATTTTCAAACAAAGACAATAATATAGTTGATAATGTGAAACAAAATAATAATATGTTGAAGTAGAAATATACTTATAAATATTCAATAAATTTAAAAGGTATTCTCCACATCGATCTTTTACATCTTTCTCATTAAACTACAGGTGTAACGCTGACAGAAAGTATAGTCCTACTTAGTATTTGACTTTATATACAGAGTTAGGCAAAAGTCTGGAACCCTCCAGTTAACTTTTTAACGCGTTGCAATAGGAAAACCAAACTCGGCACATATTTACAACATAAGAAATTGCACTTTTTCTACAAAGTTACAACTTTGCCCCAGCCCCAAAAATGGGGTATTTTGGGGGCAGTCCCAAATTTTCAAATGTAAACACCTATCATGTGACCCCTCATTTTAAAGGGTTTCTCAAGATAAATAAAATGGCACAAACTAGAGGTCAATATTGCACCCCTAATCAAAATTGCAGTCATTAAATGGATATTTTATAGATTATAATTAAGCACTAATTTTCCAAATTAAATATTAAACCTTCTTTTTACAACCTAGGTGCTTGATGTGTTCTCTCTGGACTGTATGACGAGTCCCATTCTAGTATAAAAATGTGCGGTGGCTGATTGAAAGTACTCTATTGGAACTCGAGTTTAGTTTGAGCCATTTAATTTGTCTTGAGAAACTCTTAAAAATGAGGGGTCACATGATAGGTGTTTACATTTGAAAATTTGGGGCTGCCGGGTACAAGTTCTAACCTTGATGAAAAAGTGCTTAAAAACCTATTTACTTTATGTGTTTTATGCTATTTTCCTTGGTTTAATTTAATCAGTGGTGTGGCATAACACAAATAATAAATTTATCAAGTGAAGTAAATATAAACTGAAAGCTATGTTAAGATAAAATAAGAGTATTTTGTATTACCATTTGATAATTAAATATAGTTCCACATATGCAACCGATTTTAGAACACAAAAATCAACGACGTACAATTTAGATATTGATGATATTCTTTAATTTAATTCAAGCATAGGTTTAGCAAAACACAATAACTAAATTTACCTAAATATACACATAAAAAAAACAATGTGATGTGCAAATTATGTTAAGTTAATCTAACACATGTTAAGCAGTTCGAATTTATTTAAAGTAGCCTCCAAAGTCATACAAAATATCTATAGACCTATATTGTAATTTGCTTACTGTTTCCATGAAACCATATCAATAGCATTATTTTAATAACACTTAAAACAATTTAAAAATCGAAAGCAGAGCCTGGAGTTGATACAGCAACGCTTTTAGAATATTTCTTTTATTTCTATAATCATTGACATAGTTTTTGAATAAATGATCTTTGATACATTTTTTGATTAAATAAACCAACCACATAATTGTGTGAAATATATTTTTCCTACAGTCACCCGACAAAGTTGGCTTCCTTGTACTGTTTATAGTACAGAAAGCTGCTAATTGCTGCGTATTTATACTTTGCCGTACGGTTTATACTTTGCCGTACGGTTTATACTTTGCCGTACGGTTTATACTTTGCCGCACATTAGGATTCCAACGAAACAACACAAAACAGCGTGGTTCTATTAATGCACGTAATCCGTGTACGCTTGGAAATAGGTTGGCAACACTTAAAGACAATAATACTATGATCAGCTGATTGACTATTATAACTACGATTTAACCTGTCATTTCGTGTTTATAGTTTCGGTATTTCTGAACTTTCTGGACTTTCCTTTTAAACGTTTTTAAAACATTCCTACGATCTTAATAAACAAGAAAATACCTTTAAAGCATTTTTTTTTTGGCGCGGAAACCACTTCAAATTACAAAAACATACGGAACTATATTCTCAAAACACCGAGCACATTTCTTACCGAGGAAAAATAGCGGAGTGATACGGACCGCGGGTACAGTACTACTTTCTCTAGGGCACCATTTGTGTTGCCAGCTGAACCTAAAAACGTGTTGTATAATGTTTGAAAGACTAATTATTTATATGCTTTATAGTGACTGTAGGAAAAATATAATGTGTAACACGAGTGAAACGGCCTTTGCTGCACTCGAGATCATTCCGCACTCGCCTGCGGCTCGTGCGTAAACATTGCTCTCGTGTGCAGCAAAGTGCCACTTTCACCACTAGTTACACAAATAACTATTACCTACGACCGTTTTTAAAGCAGCCATTTCAGTCCAGTTCTTAGAATTGAAAAGTTTCACTTTACAGCTGTTTACTTTCATATCAGCATAGTTTCATTTCATATCAGCATAGTTTTTCTCATAACAACACCGGTAACGGGCCAATGAGGTTCAAGGATTGAGAGAAAATAAGTAAAATTGTAATGTTTTGAACGTCAACTAATCAGCTGATCAGCTGACTATTAAAATTGTTAATCCGACTTGTTCCTGTTGATACTTGCGTATTCTTAACCTAAGTTGGTGGAAGTTAAAGGAAGGTAGATTAAACTGATTAAAAAATGTCAGTTAGTGAAAGTGAAGTTGACGAGATGGAAATGAAATCACAAACTGTTTGTGCTAATCTTTTGCCACCAAAATAGAAACAAAGGTAGGAAATTACATACCAGCAATTTTTTAAAAGGACGAAACAAAATAAGGTTAAATTGATAAATGAAAATGTGCTTCTGGTTTATTTTGTAAATTAACTGTTTCAATATTTTATTTAGCTGTCCACAAAAATATGCAACATTTCGCTAATTGTACCTGATATTTATGGTAAGAATGCTGCTAGCAGAACCTAAAAGAACTTGCCTCACAATTTTCTTTAGGTTAAGTATCAGGATAACACATCTACAAGGCAGTGTTTAATCTATTCTTGAAGCGTGTTTTGATGTAATTTCATCTTGAAGTAAGCGGGCTTATGTAGACTATTATGTCTTTTCGGCAGAAGTACAATTTGTTCCCATATTTTAACACCTGAGGACGAGCGTGTATAGTTATGAATTGCTGTATTTAGTAAAATGGTTTTACCTACGACCGTTTTTTAAAGTAGCCATTTCAGTTCAATTCTTAGAATTGAAAAGTTTCACTTAACAGCTGTTTACTTTCATAACAACATAGTTTCATTTCATAACAGCATAGTTTTTCTCATAACAACACGGGTAACGGACCAATGAGGTTCAAGTATTGAGAGAAAAGAAGTAAAATTGCTAATGCTTGGAACGTCAACTAATCAGCTGATCAGCTGATCAGTTGACAATTTTAATTGTTGATTTGACTTGTTCCTGTTGTTACTCGCGTATTGTTAACCTAAGTTAATGGAAGGTAAAGGAACGTAGATTAAACTGATTTGAAATGTCAGTTAGTTAAAGTGAAGTTGACGAGATGGAAATGAGAGCACAAACTGTTTGTGCTAATCTTTTTTTCACCAAAATCGAAACAAAGGTATGAAATTACATACCGACATTTCATTAAATGGACGAAACTAAATAAGGTTAAATTAATAAATGAATATGTGCTTCTGGTTTATTTTGAAAACCTCTTAACCACTTTTCGCCCAACTCGATGTGGACCACATATTCGATGCTGAAATCCAACTGTAAATTAACCGTTTTACTATATTATCTAGTTGTCCAAAAAAATATGCAATATTTCCCTAATTGTATCTGATACAGTATTTATCGTAAGAATGCTGCTAGCAGAACTAATTCCCTGAAAAAGTAACGTATTATTTAACTAATTTTTACAAACGCGTAATTACATGAAATCAGCTGATTATACAATAAGTAGTTGCATCACTTTCAGTGTCACTGACAATAAACGAAAACATAACCTCTCAAAGAAGTTATGAGTGGTGATTGTTAGTAAACGGTCGTAGGTAAAGTAGTGTACGCAACTCGCGTTAATAGTCTTCACGCAATCGTTGCGTAAACTACTATTAAATTTTGTTGAATAAAAGAAACAAATTCAGTAGTAAACAACCCCCTTCACAAACAGGACAGAATCGCACCTTTACAACTATCTCCTCAGCTGATCTCCCAGGTAAATTAATCCAAACGATGTGATCCATTAGCAAATTGCGTATTTTAAAGGGGTTCGATCCCGACCGAACCAAAACGAATAATAATACAGGTTCCCTTTTACTTTTCAAAGATTAATAATACAATTATTATGTGAATAAAACTACTAAATTAGAATAAATTACATTTGCTGCTTATTTAGAACATGAATAGTGATAATTTACGAATAAATTTTTGTATTTAGTAAAATAACTTCCTTTACATAAACGGATTAGGAAAACACTACGAGCATCATTATATAAATTGCATATTCCATTGAGTAAAACTAACTTAAACTTCGGTTAAATAACCAGCAGTTGGTTAGTAAACCACCAACATCTTCATGGACCGGACGAGAACTAGCTTCTTCTTAGAGCTCACTCAAAACAAAATTTATACTATCATTTGTTTAGTAATATCAATTAAATACTACAATTACACGAATTCTCATCGTATTTTAAAATCCGAAGTTTGTTTTGGTGAGTATTTATTATTTTGTGACTTTTGAGCACTCTACTCCCCCCCTTATTTTCTGGTAGATCCATGGAAGATCATATGATTTATACTTTACTGTGTGTTATAATACCATTTAACAAGAAATTGTGTACACTATACACATAAATAGTTTTAATTAATTCAACTAGTTTCAAAATCAAATGTCCCTACCTAAACAGGACGAAACGTAAAGTTATGAGCTGATATGAGGATGGTAAATCTATACGGTTTATGTTAAATGGTTTTATCTACGCCTTCTCTCTCATACCGACATAGGGTGTGAGTGGCGCTGGCGGCGTGTTGTGTTGTTCAGTAGCGTCTCAACAATTCACCACTTCACACCACACCCCGGCTCAGTAGCGTCCTCGTCTCCGCGCCGTGCACATCATGACTTCCTCCGTGGGCCCGTGGACGTGGGTGTGTGTGATGGTGACCTGGGGGGTGGTGTCCAGGGGGGCGACCCCCGACAAGGAAGCGGCAGTCCGAGATGTCTTCCGGGAGATGCTTCACATCTCACCTCCAAGACAACCTGGAACCTCAAACGGACGACTTCCTTCTGCACCCCGTCACATGGTCGAGTTGTACCATCGCTTCGTCAACGGCCAGGAGGACTACGCCCCGCTGGAGGGGGGCACGACCACTGTGAGAAATTTTCTTCCTTCTTCAGGTAGGAGATTTGTTTTTTGGGTTTTACACAAGATATTTTGTGTTGTTTGTTCACACAATTTAAAGGGCTATTATAACTTTAGGCTTATGAAGAAAGGGGTAATCAACTGAAAGAGTCAATTCCAGTACCTGAAGGATGAAAATTCTGTGTTTGATTAATAGAAAACTTCGGCAATAATCCTTCAAAATAAAAAAGATCCTCAGAACTTCAAACCCTCATACTCATACTCAGAACTTTTTGTATTTCATACTCTGAAATACAAAAAGCTGACTGCCAACCTTACGTTTTGGGGGGTTGATTTTACCGATGTAAAAATTTAATGGCATACAAGGGAGTAAATTAGGTATTACGTAGAAAAAATTGAAAAAATAGGTTGCAAAAAAGTTGAGGAAACGGACAATGGGTAAATCCAAATGCAAATCCTAGGACGTTTACGTAGGTATAGCTGTTAAACAATGTTTACTAGGAATACAATAAGTAAACATTAGCTTAGTAGGTTTAATAGTTTGTGAATAATTTAAAACTTTCAATCATGGAGGTATGTTATTTGCACAGCATAAAAATATCAATATATGAATTAACTAGCAGAGTACCCGTCCTTCGTACGGGGTTGGCAAATAAGTATAAAATGCTTATTGCAGTTATACCCGATCTTTGCGTTTGCGATGTGAGAAAACACGGTTTGAGAAAATTTGCTTCCTAAAATTTACGGTATGCGATAGTATTACACATCTACCATAGCCATAATGTTCTACTACTTCACCAACACAATAGAGAAAGATAGATTATTAAAAATTCGCAAAATATCGTAAATTATTCATGAAATTAAAAACATAAACATAACTGTAAACAATCCTTCTTTGACAGTTCACATTATCACAGTCCGATAATGAGCATTTTCGGTGATAGTGCTGCACCCTGTTGGTAAATCTTATAAATTTTTAATGCTTTTACATATCATAGAACCAACTCTTTTAGTTGAAACAGCTGGCTAAATTCTTTAATTCCCTCTAAATATGAATACTCATGAGGGAATGCCTATATGTTAATCGGGAATGTGAGCTATCATCATTCCAAATTTCAGCCCAATCCGACCAGTATTTTTCGTGTTTACTTGTCACAAACATACATACATCCATACATCCAAACTTTCTCATTTATAATATCAGTAGGATAAACAAAAACCATTATATTTCAATTATAGGTTGTTTACTATTGATATTGCTAATAAACTTATTCCAGTTGTATCTTTATGAGAATTTTTGTGGTTGTTTTCAAATTTTATTATATAGCCTATTCTACGGCAATGAATCAATTATTATTTTTGACGTTCAGCATGTGTGAACAGGTTTTGTACAACGCTGGTTGACAAACAATACATGAGATGATATTATTTACTATTATTTATTACATCATTTAAGTGTGTTAGAAGAAAATATACGACAGATGTACGATATACAAAAATGTTTTTATTTCGCTTGTCATCCTACACAAAACAATTGCTAAACTTTATAAGAAGAAAGTTATAAATGGAAGGAGTTTTGGGAAACCGTTATCATTACTTAAAGAGAAGCATAACAGTTTCAAGTTCTTGGTTTGTTAATTATAAGATAAAGCGGATGTAACATGGGCATCTTTCTTCGTATATAGTGACTTTGTTAAATATTTGTTTTTAGTTCAAACATTAAACTATTTTCATCCCAATAGCAAAAGGTTATAAAATAATTGGAGGCAAAAATGGAGGCTTACAATTGTTGGCCCTCAAAATATAAAATTTCGCTTTTTTGCCCAGCCCATTTTGTAGAGCTTGTAGAAAACAAAATAATTATACTAAGTATATTAAAGCGTTATTTCATGCTTAAAGAGAAACTAAATGTAAGTTTAAAATTACTATGTTGTTCTTATGAGGAATAAAAAAAAATTAATTCGCTTATAGGCTACCTAGGATGGTGTAAAAGTGGTGCCGATGCCCTCATGAAAATATTATATGTAGACCTATATGATGTTATGTTAAAAAAAAGCATACTAATAAATGTATTTACTTCGAAAAGCAATTTCGGAAGTCAATTCTTTGGTAAAACGAATCCTAAAACTAAGTTTAATGTGGCGAATAACTAATCATTGATTATTATAAATGTCACATAAAAAAGATACTTAAAGAACAAAATGCTTCGATTAGGGCAAGGCCTATTTCCTAGCAGCTATTAAACGTTTTATCGGAGTATATTTTATTTCTGAGAGAAAAGAAAAATTATAATATTTAGCACCTTTTGTTTATCAAACATATCCTTGTTGTTAATTACTACACAATTTTCAATAATGTAAATATTTTATGGACAAATAACTTACAAAGAGTTGGTTAAAATATGGCAAATCTTAGCAAGTTAATATCACTTTTTCCGTTCCAAAATTCAAGACCCTTAAATCGTACATCGTACCATCGATAAAAATAACATACACAACTTTTCCAATGATTTTAGAAACAAAAGTCAACTGCAACCAGCTTAGTTTTTAAATATTGCCGTTGATTTAATTGAAGCAGCTGTGTAGCTAACCTCCACTAAATTACAACGTATAATAAAGTATGCCATGGTCAAGTTTAGTAAAAATAGGAATACATTTTTTTCCAGCACCAAAGCACACATGAAATACATACGACAATTGTTTGAGATATAACAATAGGATAAAAAACACATACTTCTGCTTGTTGCAGTATCAAAAGTCCATGATAGACTTTAAGGTAAAACCAAACAACATACTGTAAGTAGTTTGTCCTGTAAACAAAAAACCATCAAAAAGTCCCAAACCTAACAATATTGAACTTGACTGTTTCCACAAAAATATGTCTGGAAAATAACTCTCATAAAACTCGATATAGACCATAAACATCAAACAAAAAATTACGGAACTGAACTAATCCTATAACTAATGACATTAAGATATAGTTTGACAGTTCCGTTTACTTAATGTTAAATAATTTTTACATTTGGACGAGTGACTTCATTTATTTATGTTTATGATCCATACAGTTTCTTCTCTAATATTCATGCAGTATTTAATATGTTTGATTCAGCTGTGTGGAATTATGAATTAAAAATTCACAAGTAAACACGTTGCTCGAAATCGAGCAATTGCAAAGAAGTAAAGTAGTTATTAAAAAACAAATAAAAGTCATCATAATTTCCGGTGAGTTTTTAAAGACTTTGAATCGAAAAATAAATAACAGCAATTACATTATACAGCTGATAAAAATGTAAACAATTATGTTCTTTATAAGGATAACATGGGAACCTTAACAGCCACTGGGGCAGAGCCCACGGGACTTAAAAAAAATTAAGGACAGTTTGCACATCTACGCGACACGCTCTTTCCAATGAGACGCCAATGGATAAAATCGGTTAAGAAATGGCGGAGGAGTTCAACCGACAAAGTTTCATGTAGCGTATTAATTATATAGATTTGACAGTTCTGCTTGTTTACATTTCAACTTTGTGACATTGTACTTTGCTGCCATCATGGATATCAATGAATATTTACTTTTAAAACTCTGACCTCAGAACTTGAGTCCTGTGTCAATATTGCAGATTGAATAGTTCTACAGTAACCTCGGAATCGGAGCTGTAGCATTTATTTTTTTCCAATATGAGCCCAGTCGGTTCAGTAGTTTTTGAGTTTAGTTTAAACAAATACACACACACAGACATATATGAAACACTTATTAAACATTGCATGCATGAAAAACTAAAAAAGATTACATTAGCTACATAGTTTTAGAGGCTCATCTAACAGTGGCTAAAGTCAAGTCGGTATAGACAAGGCGCTAGCTTCAGTACAGTACTTTTCTGTGTTCGTTGTATAATACAGGGTATCAATGAAAACGATTCACAAAAATGCCAATAGAGGTAAATTATACAAAATAAAGTAAAGATCAAACAGAAATTAGAGATTATATTGAAGGTTGAAATAGTGATGTGTACAGTATAATAAACATTAAAAGATTCATAAACATTAAAAGTCAGTGCATTACAGTATGTCGAATCTATATATATAAAAATCCAATGTAGTTTGTTTGCATGTATGTTTGTATGTATGTATGTTTGTTTGTCCTTTATGGACTCCAAAACCGCTCGACAGATTGTAATGAATCTTTCAGGCATTATTAAGCATTATTCAAGGATGGTTTGTGTGAAGTTTGGTGCAGATCCGTCAAAAGGGCTTCGCCCCAGTGGCTCTGAAGTTTTCCATGTTAACTTTATGAGTACTCATATTTAAATGTAATTTAAGAATCTTAACAGCTGGTTCAACTAATCAATTTTAATTCTGTGATGTTCAATAGGATTAAATAGTTAGGGTGTAGCACTATTATTTTTTTTATTTATGACAACAGCTAATTTGCAACCAAAAGGTGAGTTAGCGTAGCGAACGAACTTCAACCAGGACGTGATTGAGACATGCGAACGAGCTCATCTTGAAAATGAACGAGCTTTTGACATAAAACCACATTAGGACAGGACGACGTCTGTCGGGTCAGCTAGTAAACAATTAGATTTATTGTTACAAGAAACGATTTACTCATTTTCTAGACAATCAAATATTTAATTAATTACTTATTTCTTATTGTGGTGGAATAAACGAATTATTGAATTAATTTAAAGTTATAGCCATATTTGTGCAAGATTCAAAATAATATTATGTTGCATTGTAAAACTTCTGAAGTTTTTTCACAATTTTATTTACAATCTGTTCAGCTTTTTGAACCTTTAGCAAATACAATAACAATTAATAAAACGCTAGTTAGTCTCTATCCTTCGACATATCTAACACAAAGATTTCAATGAGAAAAGAATTAACAGTACAAAATATATACAAAAGCATTTTCACACACCAACGTACATACCACAAATTACATGTTTGTTAAATCATTTTGAACATCTTGAGAAATAACCTCGACTCACACCATTTTCTTGGTGTTGAAATTTTATCCCAGCGGAAAAAAATAA